CAAAAGACTTAAGAAACAAACTCGGCACTGAGAAAGAGAGACAGAGTAGTTCCAAGAGGTCCTCTGTATATATAAGACCCTAAAGACAACTTAAATGTTCTATATACAAAAAAATAGGCTTTCGGGAGGTTTTGAAAAAAAAATATGAGCTACAAAAGGTATTTTTACAGGAGATATCTCACATACACAAATCACTTTGATTTGATTTCTATAAAAATATACAGACTTATTTTTAGACATTTAGATATAAAATACAGTGGTTTCAATACCACAAACAAAATAATCGTTTAAAATAAAATCAATCAATACTGTCATCATGGTTTGTTTATCTGCCGGTCTGTCTGTCTGTCAACACCAAAAAAACGAACAATTAAATCCACAAAACTCATAAACTCCACAACTATACGATACCACAATACTCAATTGTGATTAATAGTTTTTTTGATTTAAAAATAAAGATTTTTTCAATGGATATTTGTGTTTTGTTCGCACGCCAAAAAAAAAGTTAACCGACCGTCATCATTATCTATATTATCGATAAATCGAATGGCTGTTTACAGCGATCATTAATCAACATGGAATTATAAAGCTGTTGATTTGAAGTGACACAATTTTTGTTGCTGGCAAAAAAAGATTAAAGAAAACAACAACAACAAAAGAATAATGTTTAAATATGTGACACTGTCTGGGGTGCAAAAAAATATGATGATAATAGCAACAAAAAAAAGCATAATGATCATCTATTGATCCAAATTACTAATGATACATTTGGATCGATTTTAAGTAAATAAAATTGAAAAATTAAATAAAAAATAATATATATTTATTGATGATCTTGGGAGAGAATTGTGAAGGGCTGTAAAAAACATTATATTCTCGGGAAAACTTATTAAATAAATTGTTGTAAAATTTGTTGTTTTTATGACAACAACTTATTACATTGTCCACCATTGTCCACTATTGTTTCGGATCTCGCTACTGATCTTCATAAGTTCTCTTAGTGTTTTTGTTGGGTATATTCTACCCAGAAGCTATTAACATCTCCGTTAAAAGAAAAACCTTGTATACCCCAAATGTCTCTTGTAACAAAGCATTTGACTATTTTCCAAAAACAAAATACAAATTGTACCCCAAATAACCCGCCAACGCTACTGAAGTTGTCAAATTTTTATAATTATTTTTGTTTTTTACTTCAAGAACTACGTAATCGGACGAAAATATATAAGGAAGCTATATCCAAAAATGAACAAATATAAACTAATTTCAGTACTTTTTGTTCCTATCAGCCATATATTGGTTCCTTGGTGCGTCAATTACTTAAAATCAATCGATAATATATAAGAGAGCTATATCTAAATCTCAACCATTTTCACGAAACTCAGCACGCATAATTCCAGGCTCAAATCAGAACACTATGCCCAATTTCGTGCAAATCAAAAGATATATAGGGACTTTGGTGCACCATTTACATTAAATCGGACGAAAATATATATAAGAGCTACATCTAAATTTGAACCGAATTTCACGAAACTTGACAAACATCACATTATGCTCAATTTAGTACGTTATGCCAAATATCGTGCAAATCGAAAGATACCTCGGGACTATGGTGCACCATTTAAAATCGGACGAAACTATGTATGGGAGCTATATCTAAATCTGGACCAATTTTCACGAAACTTGGCAGACATCACATTAGGTTAAATTCAGTGCGTTATGCCAATCTTCGTGTAAATCGAAAGATATATAGGGACTTTGGTGCACCATTTACATTAAATCGGACGAAACTATATCTAAATCTTGACCGATTTTTACGAAACTTAGCAGACATTATTATATGCTCAATTCAGTACGTTATGCGAAATATCGTGCAAATGGAAAGATATATAGGGACTTTGGTGCACCATTTATATATATATATATATATATATATGGGAGCTATACCTAACTATGGACCAATTTTCACGAAACAAGGCAGACATTACATTAGGCTAAATTCAGTCCGTTATGCCAAATATCGTGCAAATCGTAAAATATATAGGGACATTGGTACACCATTTACATTAAATCGCTCGAAAATATGTATGGGAGTTATATCTAAATCTGAACCGAATTTTCTCAATTTCAATAGGGTTCGTCCTTGGGCCAAATAAGTGACCTATGTCAAATTTCATCCAAATCGGATCATAAATGCGACCTGTACTTTGTTCACAAAAATACATGGACGGGCAGATGGACGGATAGACGGACATGCATAAATCCACTTAAAAAGTGATTCAATGAATATTCTCAAAAGGAACTATGTGACATAATACCCTGTACCACAGTGTGGTGAAGGCTATATGAAGAGCCAACATGGTTGAAACAAATTAAAGTTTGTTTCTTAAGTCTTTTGATGTACTGCATATTCTAAGTCGTGTATTGGTGGGTGCACACAATCGACTTATAATAGTTTTGGCTTCCAGAAGAAGAAATCAAATTCCACAATTCACAGCTTGTAAAAGTAATTTTCAAACAAATATGGAAAAACCCTTGATTTGCTATTTGCTGGAACTGGAATTGGTTTGTACACTTCCAGAAGAAGTTGGTTACAATTCAGTCTCAGTTTTCTTTTGTGATTGACTTTTGAGTTATTTTCCAAATTTTTCAAAGATGGACAAACATTCTTTTAAAACCAGTGAGCGGACGGGACCGACCATATGAAACCCTACACAACATCCACCAAACTCTAATTTTTGTGGTTCTATACTCTGAGCCTGGGCAATATTTAGTGATATTTGCACCCTTTTAACCGATTATAGATCAACAACTCCACGTTCTAACCCTGGCATATTTTCCACAATTTGTATACCCTTCACCACACTGTGGTACAGGGTATTATGTCTTTGTGCATATGTTTGTAACAGTCAAAAGGAAACGAGATAGACACATGGTTCCTTTTGAGAATATGCATAGAATCACTTTCTGAGTCGATATATGCATGTCCGTCCGTCACAGTACAGGTCGCATTTATGATCCGATTTGTATGAAATTTGGCATAGTTCACTTATTTGGCCCAAGGACGAACGCTGTTGAAATTGGAAAAAATCGGTTCAGATTTAGATATAGCTCCCATATATATTTTCGTCCGATTTTAGGTAAATGGTGTACCAAAGTCCCTTTATATCTTTCAATTTTCAAGAAAATTTGGCACAGCGTAATGAATTAGGTCTAGAATGAAGTGTGTTAAGTTTCCTGAAAATCTGTTCAGATTTAGATACAGCTTCTATATCTGACCAAATGGAAAATTTAGTATCGGTTGCAGAATGATATGTTTATGGATCCAATTAAAGATTTCGTTTCATTGCACCCCCTGAATGAAATCTCAACTTCACCGAAAACTATAGACGTCGTCCTTGACCATAATCGGAACTTCATGTCCAATTTCGAAGCGATCAACGCGAAATTTCCGTTCTCTAATGGAGTAATAGTAATGCTTTGCACATAGACACCTTCAAATATTTACGTATAACTCCCACATCAGAGTATATACAGCCATATAATTGTTACCAATTTGAAGGTCAACCACTCCTCTTGGATATACTATCAACTTCTCGGGGTCTATGTCCTTCAGGAGTAAATATATACGCCATAGAATACAATTTTTTTAATTTTTCACACAAAAGTCAGGGTCTATTTGACCCGCTAAATAATGACCGATCTTTATTAAAACAGGCATGCTTATTCTTTTGCCCGATCCCCTTCTCCATGTTAAATTTCACGATATTCGGGCCATAATTGCGGCCTCTGGAGCGACCAGAAAATCAGACAAAAATAAAGTTTTTGACCCATTTCATCCCCTAAATATAAACGGATCTTTACCAAAAACAATAGAGGTCTTCATTGGCCAGAACCCATCATGCATGCAATGGCCTGTATCGTTTTTACAAATTATAATGGACAGACGGACGGACGGACACACATGTCTAGATCGACTCAGCTAGCCGAGATATGACGATCGGTTTACTTAAAGGTGGGTCTTGGACCAATATTTCGCAGCGTTACAAACTCTTGGGCCTGCACAAAGCTATAATACCCTGACAACATAGTTGTGTAGGGTATAAAAATGTATTTTAATTTAAAAATTAAAATTAAAAAGAAAATATTTGCTTAAAAGGGATTTCTATTTTCCGAACTCGAACCATGAACCATAAAAATTATTTACTCACTTATTCGGCATAATTTCCAATTAAAGGAGGGTTTAAAATCTTAAGTGGGGTTCTATTTACCTGTAAAGAAAACAAACAAAAAAGTGCATGAGATTAGTGAGGTTAGGTTCTTGTCCTCGGAATTGTTAGTCGAACGAACTAATTTAATTAAATGGTTTACACGCAACTTAGGTAGTTAAATTAATTTTTATGGCCGCACAAAGTTAAACCCTAATTTTTAGGTCAAATGATTAGGACTGGTAAAATTTCTGAGAAATAAGTGATTTTTCGCAGAGCGAGAGAGAACGAGAGAAAGATAGAGAGAGGCACATCAGAGAGTATCTTCATTCTAGATGCGAACACAGGACGTTAAAAAACCATGGAAATGAAATATTGTCTCAGAGAGAGAGAGAGAGGGAGTGAGAGAGAGGGAGTGAGAGAGAGAAAGTGAGAGAAATTCTTTAGTTGCAAATTTTATTCTCTGAGAGAGACTTTATATAAACTTGTATGCATCTTTAAACCTTTTCCTAGAAATAAGAGAATATCAAAGAGATAAATACAAACGCGAGAAGAGATGAAGAGAATTTTTTTCTAAAATGTGTTCCTTCTTTTTCTTTACAGTTATTGAACACCAGCCGAAGGAAAAACATGTCCAAGGTGTGTTAAAAAAAATTATTAAATAATATCACAAAGTCTCAGACTATAAACTAAGAAAATCGCACAAAAATAACAACAACAGTATTACCAGTATCAAAAAATCCCCTTCCAATCACCATGAAGTTCAAAGTAAAAATATTATTATTAACGATATTAATGGGTTGCACCATCACCGCCGTATATGGCGATAATGAAGATCCCAGCTTGGCGACAAGTGCAGACAATATTAGTGCCGCCTCCAATGACCCAACCACATCCAATGAAGAAATCTATGAACCCGAACTAATACAACAGCAGGTTGAAGAGGCTCAACGTATACTCCACGATTTAGATATGGAAATGGAAACAGAGACAGAAATCTCGATGAAGACGGTGCGTAATATTTCCGATAATCAATTGAATTCGGCTTATGCATCTTCTTCGTCATCGTCGTCCTCGGAGGATATTCCGATATCCAAACAAAAGGATGACGATTATGTGAACGATGCACAATTATCTAAAGAAGATAAGCAGGAAGAAGATCAGGATCAACTCCATTTAAATAAATCTCGTATGGGTCGTCTACTACCCAATCCAACACCTGGGCCCAACTCACCATCACCTCCCACCCACATTCCAGACTATATACGCCAAATGAAACCCAGTGATGATAATGATGATGACAATAATTCTCAAGAAGCTGCAAATCTCTCCCTTGCCGATTATACCGATGACACCATCAGCAACAACAACAGCGAACCTCAACATCTAAGAAGTTCGGGCCAACAACCCAGCATCGATTATGATGAGCCAACGCCACAGGCCAAAGAAAATGAGGACATTGTCCCCCTGGCGATGCGTTACTATGACGAAGAAACCAATCAAGAGGTGACAGCAGCTGCTTTGCATGACAACAACAATAATAACAATACCAACAATGACAGCAACGATGATGATGATGATGACTATCACGAAAGTGCTGGTGAAACCAATCGCCTAAACAATGAACCCATACCCATGCCTCAGGTCCAACCACAACAACAATGGCCAGTGCCACAACAAAGATCATTTGCATTACCCACAAATAATGAGGCCTCAGTACCACCACCACCACCATCCTCTGCACAGAATAGTTCGGAAGAATATTATGATGAGGAAGTGTCATCCCGTGAAGATGAATTGATGGTAACCACAACGGCTGCCGGAGCAGCAGCCATAACTCCCACCAGCCAAACAAATAGCGAACCTCGTCCAACAATGGTAATACTTGCTGCCGGTTTCCCCCTGGCCTATCAACCGACCACAAGTGCTCCAGCACCACAACGCTCCAATAACCAAACACCACCACCCGCACCAGCACTAATGACACCCGCATCACCAACTTTGGGGCCAACAACACCACCATATCCACTAATTGCCTCTGCCATGGCTGCTGCAGCTGCCGCTGCCTTACCCGCCACCGGTGACAAAAAAGGCAAACAAATACCCATTGTAGCCACGACAACAACAAAAACAACGACCACTACAACAACATCAAAAACCCTCCCCCCACCGCCGCCTCCCATTGTACCCGCCATACCGACCACCATTAAGACCATTAATGCGGTAGCCGGCACCAGTCGACGTCACTTGTTGCCACACGAACAATTGCGTAACTACATCGAAGATGCCTACATTCGGATGCCACTTGCGGTTATTGTCGATCCATCGTCGGAATCACTGGAAAAGACGAAGGCCTTGTGGAATGAGGCATTGCGTGCAAATTTAAATATCAAAATTATTTTGGTTACATTGAATGAATCGGGTAAGTTTTTTGGAAGTAAACGAAAAAAAAACAACAACAAAATGTGGATATATTAACGATGATAAATGCTAGTTGGGGATATTAGGGTGGTCCGGGGTTTAACATGAAAAAATAATCATCGATTTCTCACGGAAAAATCATCAAAAACTCGATTGAAAAGAAGTAAAGTCAACTTGAAGTTGGATCAGACCGAACTTATTATAACCTGAAGGACATGACTAAATCGAAATATAATTTGGGGTCTACGTATTTATTTCGAGGTGGTACCAGTAAAAGTAGCTCTATAGATCCCATTTTTATTCTTGATCTAGGTAAAAATATTACAATATGTTCATTACGGATCAAATCGGATACTTCATTCGGTTGATATTGATTTTTCAAAATTTTCGGGAGGTAACAGAATATGTGGACCAATGTGTCCCATCTTCAGACTAGATCTAGGTTTGGTGTATAAAATCGGACACTCCGGTAATTTCAAAGCATTTCAAAATGTTGACCCCGCTTGAAATTTACCCTTTGTGCGGGAGGTACCAGAATATATAGACCGATAGATCCCATCTTCTGACTAGATCTAGGCTTGGTATAAATATTATGATGCTGATCAAGTCGGATCACTTCAAAAATGTCAAAATTTGGGGGAGGTATCAAAAGGAATGTTACGATGGGGTCCATGTATATTTCGTAAAGATATTACAATTGATATTGGACTTAAACAATTTCAAAATGTCGACCCTTTTGTGGCGGATGTACTAGAAGGAGTAGACCAGTACACCACATCTTCCAACATTATAAAAAAGATTGGTTAGGTTCTGCAAATTTGGGTTCAAATATGATACTTCGATATTCCCATCTTCGAACATTATCAGCGATGTTCAAAGTGTTGATAAAATCGATTAATGCCTTCGAGAGTTATTGTGAATACCAGTCAGACGGAGGGGCAGACATTTGTAAATCGTCTCCAAATTATCTGAAAATTATTTGTTCCAAAGAAATTTAGGATCAAAGAGCAATATTTTGATGAATTAAGGACCTGAAAACATCATCAGGAATCCGAGATGCCAAATTACATCCACTTCGGTAGGAAAAATGTGACTGAAACATTCAAAGTGCCTTTATTATGGGGTCTATGTCAAAACATAAACCTATTTCGAATATTTTACAGCCACTGGGTTGGAAAAATCTCCAAAATACCGAGGAACCTTTATATGAGAGCCTTGTCGAACATTTTCTGAAAACATATTTTTCACACATCAAGAATCTAGAGTGTCAAATTAAGTTTCTTAAATGAGTAAACGCGGCCAAAAAAAGAGGTCCACTCTCCAAGAAATTAGAAAGCCAAATTACTTTCACTTTGTTGAGGAAATTCGTCAAAATATCGAAAATGGGACTGAGTCGTTATATAAGGCCTATGTCAAAATATGGTGTTATATTCACTGTATTTCTAAATGATCGAAAATGGGGCGGTATCTTAAGATGGGGAATATATCAAAACATATATTGGCATATATTGACCCCTACAAAATATGGAAAATATGGAAAATGGTGCGGGTCCTTTATATTGAAGCTATGTCGAAAGCGGAGCCCATACTGCAAAATTTCTGTAAAGAATTTTTCAACCTTCTAAAAACCAGAATGCCATATTACAGCCACTTCATTGGGAGAATGCGACTAAAAACTTATAAATATCGAAAATGGGACTCAGTCGTTATAAGTGGGCCAATTCAAAAATATGGAGCTATATTTACTATTTTCGGAATATGGGTATATGTCAGTAAGCCTCAAAGAATCGGAAATATCAAGTTACAGCCACGATGGATGGAAAATGTGGCTAAAACTTTAAAAATATGGAAAATGGTGTGGCATCTTTAATAGACGGGATATGTCAAAAATTAGGCATATATATTACAAAATATCGAAAACATGACTGGATTTTTATAAGGAGACCTATATCGAAAACATTCTTCGAATATGATTTAAATCCTCAATCACTTCGAAATGAAAAATTACATTCACTTCGTTGGTAAAGTGCGAACCTTAAAATGCTGAGACTGGTACTGAGTCCTTATATGGGGGCTTATTGACCTATATTCACAATGTTCTGCTTAGATATCAGTCAGCATCCAGGAACGAAAAATTTCATATTGCATCTTCAAAATACAGAAAATTGGACAGGACCTTAATAAGGGGACAATGTCAAAATATGGAGTTTTTCTGCATAAATTTATGTTGCCCTCCAAGAATCCGAAAATTACAGTCACTTCGGTTGGAAAGTGGACCGATATATGTGGACATTTTTTTTTATATTTCCGATCTCTACTCTGATCGATGATATATGTTAAATATGTTAGTATTTTGCCGTTTTCTTCGGTTTTTGGCTTACATTTTTATATTTTGAGCATGGGCAGTGATCAGGAGTCCGATCCATATCATTGGAACCAAAACCCAATCATCTCAATAAAAACGTCCACAAGAGCCAAAGCCGAAGAAATACCTCAGGTTCGATGAAATGTCAAGGCTTTGCTAATATGGCGTGGTGTATCTTGAATTTTTGCCAAAAGTTCGAACGGTCATAAATAATACTCCTCTGAAGTTATATGCCGTTTGTCCGAAGCAATTCGACCGATAAGCATAGAACTGCGGGAAACCCATATCGATGCTTGTACATGAGTGTTGGGCCAATAGTTATCAGGTATCATTTACAGTATTCATCAGTCTTGGTCCCCCTTTTCTCAAAACTGAAGACACCGATAAAAGGAAAGAGTTTGGCTCGATTGAGGTGATAAAAGAAAATTCGAAACGGGAGCTGTAGGCTACCCTAGGTTATTATATCTGAGGGGTAATTTTTTTGATCAGACCCTCAGTATCCATAAGTGTCTAAGGGTATAAAAATATGTCATTCCTATAATTACATTATTATCAGACCACCCTTATATACATATTGTATATTTCGCAAATGAACATCACCACATTACTGAGAGTGGCAACATCATCAAATGTAATGTTTATTTCAATTGAAACATACATTTTTATTAAGGAAAAACATCAGCAATGGGAAATATTTTAATGAATAAAAACATTAAACGATACGATACTCTATGCAACTCTCAGTAAAAAATATTACTCTCTTACAAAAGCAGAGAAAATGCAAAGAATCAGTAAAAAAATCGAAACAGATCTCGAATATAGCAACTTTGTTAAACTGCACGGTACAATAGCGTACGGTTGAGTTACTGTACAGCTTAATAGAAAACCCAACATTCTCTTGTATCGGACGAAAATGTCTATGAGAGCTATATCTAAATCTGAACCGATTTTCACGAAACTTAACACACATCATTCTAGACCTAATTCATTACGCTGTGACAAATTTCGAGCAAATCGAAAGATATTGAGGGACTTTTGTACACCATTTACATTAAATCGGTCGAAAATATATATGGGAGCTATATCTAAATCTGAACCGATTTTCAGGAAACGTAACACACATCATTCTAGGCCTAATTCATTACGCTGTACCAAATGTCGTGCAAATCGAAAGATATATAGGGAATTTGGTGCACCAATTACATAAAATCGGAGGAAAATATATATGGGAGCTATATCTAAATCTGAACCGATTTTCAGGAAACTTAGCACACATCATTGTAGACCTAATTCATTACGCTGTGGCAAATTTCGTACAAATCGAAAGTTATTAAGGGACTTTTGTACACCATTTACCTACAATAGGACGAAAAAATATATATGAGAGCTATATCTACATCTGAACCGATTTTCAGGAAACATAACACACATCATTCTAGACCTAATTCATTACACTGTGCCAAATTTCGTCCAAATCGAAAGACATATAGACCCTTTGGTGCACCATTTACATTAAATCGGATGAAAATATAGATGGGAGCTATATCTAAATCAGACCCGATTTTCAGGAAACTTAACACACATCATTCTATACCTAATTCATTACGCTGTGCCAAATTTCGTGCAAATCGAAAGATATATAGGGACTTTGGTGCACCATTTACATTAAATCGGATGAAAATATATATGAGAGCTATATCTAAATCTGAACCAATTTTTCCCAATTTCAATAGGGTTCGTCCTTGGGCCAAATAAGTGACCTATGCCAAATTTCATCCAAATCGGATCATAACTGCGACCTGTACTTTGTTCACAAAAATACATGGACGGACAGTCGGAAAGACGGACATGCGTAAATCGACGCCGAAAGTGATTCTATGCATATTCTTAAAAGGAACCATGTGTCTATCGCGTTTCCCTTTGCCTGTTACAAAGATATGCACAAAGATATAATACCCTGTACCACAGTGTGGTGAAGGGTATTTCTTAATACCTAATTCGCAATATGACGATAAAATGGATATTAGAAAAACAGGTGTTTAATAAATATCTCGTTAGGGATCTCTAGGTCAGCATACCGATAACACATGATAACATTACACTCTTAAGTGGTGTACACACTATCACTTTTGAATGACACTCTTTTTCAAATTTAGCTTGTTTAATAGTGTGGTATCGCAGTTTGTCATTCATCAGGCAGGCCCGAAAATATTCTTTGTTTTTAGACCAGCATTTGTAAGGAAATACAAAAGAGCGAATCTCTGCTCGAATCTTCATTAGAGGGTCCGTAATCGATAAAAAAAAAACTGACAGTCAAAAATGATAGCGTGTACCCTTACTCTCAGCTGTAGCTGAGATTCCGACAGAGACAGTTTTCTTATTTAAAAAATAATTCATTTATTTAGGATTATTTTATATTATTATTCATAAAATAATGAGTTATATGAAAATACAAGAAAATAAAAATTTTGAAATATTTAGGAGACATTATTTTCCGTTCAATTAACGTAACATTTTCTCTTAAGATATAATAATCGTGGTATATTCTCTTTTTACATTTCTCTTTAATTTATTTCAATTTCCCTCTCTCCCTCCCTTCCAGACATCCCGGCGGCATTTAATTTCAACAACTCCCGACAATTTCTCACCGGCTTGAACAGCATCAAGGAGCACGAAGGTGGTGATGCCTTCCGTGGCATATCCCACGCTGCCGAATTGGTACCCTACGACAGTGCCGTATTCATATCGACAGCAACATTGGCCAATCACACGGATCAAGTGCATGATGCAGCCATAACATTGTTGAAAAAGAGAATAAGGGTTTGTAGACACACATTTTTTTATTTTATTTATAGATTTGAAAAAAAAAATTCTAATTAATTTAATTTTTATTTTTTATAATATCCAGCTCTATCTCATTTGGTTCGGTGAACGTTCGCTGAGCGAAAATGAAACCCAAGAAACCGTAGGAGGTATTTTGGGTGAGGTAGCCATACGTTCAGGCGGTGAGGTCTTACACATTGTGGGCAATGAAAATTCCATGGAATTGGAGGGTAGTACGGTAAGTTAAGGCGAAATGTGTGTTATGTGTTTAGTTTGTAAGAAAAAAAAATAGAACACCAATTTTGAAAGGTTATGTTTCATAAAATGTAAATATATTCATAAATATTGTTAATTATATTAAACAATTTTAAAACATTATATTATAACCTAGGTTAAGCACTTGAAATAAATATTTTAAGACAAACAATTTTACAAATCGAATTTGTGTGTTTAATCCACTTTTTTTTAAACCTACTGCAATAGAATTGTATGACGTTATTTCCAAATTATTATTTTTATACCCTTCACCACACTGTGGTACAGGGTATTATGTCTTTGTGCATATGTTTGCAACAGGCAAAAGGAAACGAGATAGACACATGGTTCCTTTTGAGAATATGCATAGAATCACTTTCTGAGTCGATTTACGCATGTCCGTCCGTCCGTCCATGTATTTTTTTGAACAAAGTACAGGTCGCATTTATGATCCGATTTGGATGAAATATGGCACAGGTCACTTATTTGGACAAAGGACGAACCCTATTGAAATTGGAAAAAATCGGTTCAGATTTAGATATAGCTCTCATATATATTTTCGTCCGATTTAAGGTAAATGGTGCATCAAAGTCCCTATATATCATTCGATTTGCATGAAATTTGGCACAGAGTACAGAATTAGGTCCAAACTGATGTGTGCCAATTTTCGAGAAAATCGGTTCAGATTTAGATATAACTCCCATACATAGTTTCGTCCGATTTAGGGTAAATGGTGCACCAAAGTCCCTATATATCATTCGATTTGCACGAAATTTGGCACAGAGTACAGAATTAGGTCCAAAATGATCTGTGCCAAGTTTCGAGAAAATCGGTTTAGATTTAGATATTGCTCCAATATATATTTTCGTCCGATTTAAAGTAAATGGGTCTCCAAAGTCCCTATGTATCTTTCGATTTGCACGAAATTTGGCATAAAGTACTGAATTAGGTCCAACATGATCTGTGCCAAGTTTCGAGAAAATCGGTTTAGATTTAGATATTGCTCCAATATATATTTTCGTCCGATTTAAGGTAAATGGGTCTCAATTTGGCACAGCGTAATGAATTAGGTCTAGAATGATGTGTGTTAAGTTTCCTGAAAATCAGTTCAGATTTAGATATAGCTCCCATATATATTTTCGTCCGATTTAATGTAAATGGTGCACCAATGTCCCTTAATATCATTCGATTTGCACGAAATTTGACACAGCGTAATGAATTACGTCTAGAATGATGTGTGTTAAATTTCCTGAAAATCAGTTCAGATTTAGATATAGCTCTCATATATATTTTCGTCCGATTTAAGGTAAATGGTGCATCAAAGTCCCTATATATCATTCGATTTGCATGAAATTTGGCACAGAGTACAGAATTAGGTCCAAAATGATGTGTGCCAAGATTCGAGAAAATCGGTTCAGATTTAGATATAGTTTCTATATCTGAAAAAAAAAAATTAGTATCGGTTCCAGAATGACATTTTTTTGGATCAATTTCATTCTACTGGTCCATTAAAAATGCAACGCCTGTTATGATTCATCTGTTGAATATACCCAAAGTGGTGAAGGGTATCATATAGTCGGCCCCGTCCGACTTTACTACTTTCCTTACTGGTTTATTCCTGTATAGGATATGTTCAAGTGATTATACCCCAGGAGTTTGTAACGTCCCGAGACCGATGATTGTAATAGATCCAGCTATGTGTGTCCCTCTGTCCGCCTATAGGGATTTTTTTCTTCCCGAACTTGGATCTCGATTTTGTTTCATAGTGTAATTAAACATAACACATTTTACAGAAAAAAGGGTGACAACAGTTTGACTTCGACATCCAATTTATTCACAATAACACACTATTCACAATAGAGATTATCATGGCTCGTCGTTATAATAATAAACAAGTGAAAAATGCGTTACGTTGGCCGGGTGAAGTTACGTGAAATGAAAATATCAAAATGTGGACATATAACGAAAATTCTACCAATCGATGTTTGTAAGCAATAATGTACACCGAATACAAATTTCAGCAATTTTTAATGATGATTTTTTCATAAAATCTTAAAACCTCAAAATTCATTTTTGGCGGGAAAATTGCACAAAATACTGCAATGTATCACTATATTCAACCAAAATGGTGTAATCTAGCATTATGGATTTCCATTGTGGAAAACATTTCCCTAACAAAAAATATCAATATTGGTACTCGATTTAAACTCTCATCATTCACAATAGTTTATTAATAAGGCCAGCCATAAACAGAAAAGGGTCTGTTGTTTCTCAATTTTATTGTAAAAAATTTGGACGTTATTTTGCCTCTTAACCAGAGCAGTGCTAGCGTGACCATATGGTCACACTTATAAGAGATCTATAAGTCATCTAAAAAAACCTGTAACCGAGCAGTGCTAGTGTGAACATTTGTGCTGTGACCAAAAATTGATCCTGTCGAATATTCTGATAAGAAAAAAGGATACGCTGAAAGTTTCGTCCCAAAATTCGAAAGAAATAATTACAACACTACTCGGTTTAAAATATGGATTCAATTCACAATAATTGATTATGACAGCACACTTAAGAAACAGCTGAACTACCGAGTGCATATGGTAGCCGCTAAGCGTTGTAAGGATTCCCAAATGTGTATTCAGTAAAATTATTTCGATTATATTTAATTCACAATAACAAACAATTCAAAATAAGTTTATATTGAGAAAATATTAGTGATCGAAATGGAGTATTTCATCATTTCATTCACAATAGTTACTTTTGAATAAGGGCTATTAAAAAGGTCCCTCAGAAAGAATAAACCAGCAGTTTTTAAAACAACAAGTGAAAAAGCGTTAAGTTCGGCCGGGCCGAACTTTGGATACCCTCCACCATAGATATACTGGCAGGTACTTGAAATGAAAATATAGGGAACATACCAAAAAATGAACCTATACCGACATTTCTACAAACCTATTATGTAAACAATAATTTTTAATAGAAAATTGTACCCTCAGCCTTATGGCTAATTTGTGTGTATAACACTTTCACACAGTGAAAATGTGCCTCATCGAAATATTGGTTCTAGACGCCATGTTTCTTTGGACCAAATCCGTTTCAGAAAAATTTGATTTCATCCCATCTTATTATGTCTTCCAAACATAGTTCAAGTCCGAATTTGGGGAATATCGGTCCATGCCTTCTGGAACCTCCCACACAGGGGCTACGGCTAAGCCTAAATGCGGGCTATAGTTCACATATAGTTCATTATCGAACCGTACGTTCTAGTTTTTTATCCCGATATCCTTCGCAGGTGAAATGATTACAACAGAGTGTTAGAACCAAACCCAAAACGCGGAAAAATCAGATAATTTTATTAATATAAAAAATGGGTTTATATGGGGACTACGCCAAATAACTATTAATAATTTTTTTGACTATTAATAATTTTTGGTAGGGAGATTTGTTTCCATATACGGCTACAAAATACCAAATTTCAGTGATTTCGGTTGAAAAACGCGCTCAAGAACCTCAAAATGCCGAAATTTGGGGGTACCTTTATATGGGGGCTACCAGAAAAAATGGACTTATATTTATAATTTTTAGTGGATATATTTGTTACCCAATAAGAACCCAATATACCAAATTTCAGCGAATTCGGTTGAAAAACGCGCTCAAGAACCCCAAAATACCGAAATTTGGGGGTACCCTTATATGGGAGCTACCAGAAAAAATTGACTTATATTTACAATTTTTAGTGGAGATATTAGGTACCCAATAAGAACCCAATGTACCAAATTTCAGCGAATTCCGTTGAAAACGCGCTCAAGAACCCCAAAAGTACCGAAAATTGGGGGTACCTTTATATAGGGGCTATCCGAAAAAATGGACCTATATTCATAATTTTTTGTGGAGAGATTTGGAACCTATTAAGAACTCAAAATATTAAATTACAGCTTTTTCGGCGGAAAAATACGATCAAAACCCCCAAAATACTGAAAATTAGGAGGTACCGTTATATGTGGGCTACCAGAAAAAGTGGACCTATATTTATAATTTTATGTGGAGACATTTAGTACCCAATAAGAACCCAATGTACAAAATTTCAGCGAATTCGGTTGAAAAACGCGCTCAAGACCCCCAAAATACCGAAAATTGGGGGTATCATTATATGGGAGCTATGCCTAAACGTGGACCGATATATCCCATCTTCGAACTTGAACTGCATGCAGACAAAAGACAACCCTATGCAAAATTTCAGCACCCTATCTCAATTCCTTCGGAAGATAGCGTGATTACAACAGACGGACGGACATGGCTAGATCGTCTTAGAGTTTTACCCTGATCAGGAATATACTTACTTTATAGGGACGGAAATGAATATTTCGATGAGTTGCAAACGGAATGACAAAATTAATATACCCTCCATACTATGGTGGAGGGTATAAAAATATAAACGACATTTATATTTTCTTAATGTGAACTCCATTCTCCATTTGGACAACAAAATTGAGCAGCAACTCATTTGATAAGGACGTCATTTATATCATGTGCAGTCAATTCACCATAATGGATTTACATAGCAAACTTCAGAAGCAGTTATTTTGATCAGCTGATTTTCCTGGTGACCTTATTAATACGAATTGCTTTTGAATGTACAAAGAACAGCTTTCATTTTTCACAATTAATTTTCAATAAAGTAACACAAGAATCAAGGCCTAATAATGTCATCCAGGGAGACCAGCTGCAGATGAGCTGCTTCTGAAGTTTGCTATCAAAATTCATTATTGTGAATTGACATTCATTATGAAAACGTAAACAAAGTCAATTTTTTTTACCATTACACATTAGAAAAAGCACCTGATTTTCGCTTGCTGGGTGACCTTATTAATAGATCTTGAATAAAATATTTCACCATTACATTCACAATAGTTATTTTTGAACAAGTGTTAGTAATAAGGTCACTCAGGACGAATAAATGTGCAATTATTTTAATGCCAAAAATGTGAACGTCAATTCGATTTTCATAATGTAAAGTCAATTCACAATAGTGGATTTGACAGCAAACCTCAGAAGCAGATGATTTGATCTGCTGAATTGCTTTTGAAGGTTCAAAATATATTCAATTCATCTCAAGGGTATTTCAAGGAAGGATCGGATCAAAATAATTTGTTAAACTGTGAAAATTGAGCAGCTTGATAATTTTCCTGAACTTTATAGAAACTACAAGTTACATTTGAAACATGTCTTTGCATATGCCCTTTTTATATTGCAAATGGGCAAACAAATTAAGGAAGCAAATTATTTATTCATTAGTACTACATTTCATTCACAATAATAGAATGTCACAATATATTCTTTTGAATGAAGATCAGCTGTTTCTCAAATTTACTGTCCAAATTCATTATTGTGAATTGACTTGATAATATGTATGTTGTTTGTTTACGCAGTAAAAGAGAGTGAATTGAGAGAGAGAGAGGAAATTTAACAGTTGTGTTATTGAGTATTTGTTGATTCTTACTAGGAAAACTTACCCAGTAAAGACTTTTCAGTATGATCAGCTGATATTTTACCAGCCGTTGAATTTCTTTACAAATAATTGGAGCTTGCATCATTTAATATTAAAATGTACAAAATGACATTAAAATACAATACAAGTAATAGAAATAAATAATACAAATAACATATTTTTCTCTATTACTTTTTTTCTAATACAAATTACACACAAACGACATCCAACAGAAATCAGCTGGTGAAAATCCGAGACCTATTAATAAGGTCATCCAAGGAGACCAGCTGGATATCAGCTGTTTCTAAAGATTGCTGTCAAAATCAATTATTGTGAATTGATTTCCATTATGAAAACGTAAACAAAGTCCAAATTTTTGGTATTAGACTTGAAAAAAAAAAACAGATGACTTTCGCATGCTTATTAATAGGTCTTCATTAAAACCCTTACAAAGGCCAGTTGTTTCCTAAATTTGGTGTCAAAATGATAATTGTGAATTGAACTATGTTAGACTTTATAAACAATGTTCTTTGTTCATGAATTTAATTGTTGGTGGAGCTAGCAAAAATGGATAATAAATACTACCCCCTCTAATACACATATTTGCATATTCTAAATACTCCTAGCGCACTCTATATTTTTTTCTATGGTAATATTATTGCTCTAAGCTATCATACCACACAACAAAGTAATTTAATCTGACAGAAAAAAAAAATAAAATTGAAAGTAAAAACTATTTATTATGATGCTGACGCTCAGCATTAGTGCAAAACAGTTATGGATAGAGAGAAACCCTTCTTCTTCTCCTCCTCGTGCTCACCCGAATAATGATGGCAACAATGAATCGGCATCTTCTGCAGTAGCTAACCACCTAGTGGCGCACATTTGAAAACTTGGTTCCACTTGGAGTTGAGAAGCAGAAAAAAACGCATAGCAAAAACACACATGTCTTCTAAAGTGAATGGCTGGTGGATGGATGGATGGTGGCACAAAGTATTGATATCAAATATGCAATATTATTATTATTTTGTTTCACGCATAAAAATTTCTTAAAGGAGATTTTGAAATTGCTTAGATTACAAAATGAATGGTTGTTGGGACATAAACAATGGAACTTTTTTTAGAGAGGTATATTCATTGTTTGGGAAAGGGATTTTTGAATTCAAATGAAAGTTAGGGAATGATAGCTGGGATTTTAGTTATAATATGTATGTAGTAATGATATAAAATAATATATAAAAATATATAAAATTAATAAATATTCTCTCTCCCTTTTCCAGCTCACAATTGTAGCCGATGCATTGCGTGGTTCCCAGGAGTTGGATGTACCCGTTGATACCACACTATCCAGTTTACATGTGAAAATTGATAAACTGATGCGGAGGGCGGTATTGGAAACGCCCAATGGCGGTTAGTTATGGAATAACAATTTTTTATATATATAAATTTCACACACATACAAACACACACACACCCCTGCTCTCTTTTTTTAATTTATTTTAATTGTTTTATAATAACAAAAAATCCATTTATATATGTTTAATATGCACAAACAAACACACACACAAATTATATTTAATTATTTGTATTTTTGTCCTTTGTCTCTCTATGTCATCTGTCTCTTCTTCTATTTTGTATGTTTAATTTTATTTTTTTATATTAAAAACAAACAAAAACCGATTATGTTTACTAACAGCTATAAGGTAGTTAAGATAATATTCACCTTAATATTATTAAGGTTTGTTTAACACATAATGAGCTTTAATTATTGAAAGAATAATCGAATAATTTCAATAAAAAATATATATACATATTCATAAATAATATTTAAAATATACAACGAAGTATGATAATCTTTTTGGAAGGAGAAAATTTTCGAATACTCATGAGAAATTTTTCAATGAAAAGTAAAACACATTGGCATGGGATTAAATTTCAATTTTGTATGTATACTAGAGATGTATACTATTGTGAATGAACAAGTATTTCTCAATTGATATAACAGAATACCCCCAAAAAACATAAAGGTTTATTATTATCAAGTTGGCATTCCTGGATGACCTTCTCAAGTATTATTGTGAATAGACTTCCCATTATGAAGACAAAAATAACGTCAAAATTTTGGACATTTAACATGAAAAATTTCAACTGTTTACCGAGTTCAATTGCTAACTGGATAATTTTGGAAAATACATATATAGTTAAACAATTGTGAATGGTCAATAATCCCTGAGTACACAAAATATTAATAAAATTAACAGTGTTCATATATGACCAATATTTCCTGTCAAAGGGCTTTCAGAAAGGCAGTCAGATGTCAATTTATTGTGAATTAACAATTTAAAAAAAATATTGGTGTAATCTGTTGTACAGTGTACTTTTTATAAACAATATTTCCTCGTAAAAAGTTTTTAAAAAGACAGCCATCTATTGTGAATTAAGAATAGTTTCATATTTCCGAACACATTTCCCTTTTAGAATACAACCATGGCCTGTAAATAAGATCACCCAGGAAGATCAGCTGCTTCTCCAGATTGCTGACAAAATACAATGTTTATTTACATCATAGCCTATTTATAAGGTGGAACAGGAAAACCAAATGACAAATAATTTATATTTTGAATCCATTTTCGGTCTATTTAAAGGGTCGAATAGGAAGGCCAGATGATATCACCCATTTTGACATTTTTAATAGGTTTGAATCCAGGTCTATTAATAAGGTCATCCTAGGAGACCAGCTGGATACCAGCTGCCTCTGAAGTTTGCTGTCAAAATCCAGTATTGTGAATTGACTTCCATTATAAAAACGTAGACACATTTCAACATTGACTTGAGCTGACTTTCGATTGCAGAAAATAACGTATGTACTCTCAAGATCTATAAATAAGTTCACCCAGCTAGTGAAAGCCACCTGGGAAGTCATAATGGATGTCAATTTACAATAATGGATTTTGACAGTAAACTTGAGAAGCAGTTGATCTCCCTGGATAGCCTAATTAATAGGGCATGAGTTGAATGTTACAAAGATGGACGTTTTTTATGTTTTCATATTACCAAGTAAATTCACAATAGTGTATTTTAACAGTAAATTTTGTGAAACAACTGATCTGCATTCAAAAGAAAATAATGTTACATTTTATTATTGTGAATGGAAGTTAATACAGATATTTATATTGATTTGTTTATATTTTATTTTATTAATAAATAATTTGCTGTATCAATTTGTCCATTCACAATAGTAAAACAGTATTAATTTCAACGAAGTTCAGGAAAATGGTTAAGTCATTCAACCTTCACAGTATAACAAAATATTAACAGCTGATCATTCCTAAGATTTATTAATGTCAGCCAGCTAGCAAGAGTCAGCTGTTTTTTCTCAAGTCAAATGTAAAAAATGTGGAATTTGTTTACGTTTTCATAATGGAAGTCAATTTACAATAATGCATTTTGACTGGTCTCCCTGTATGTTCTATAAGCCTTGCCATACTTTGGTATTGTAGGCTTTAAAGAAGAACAGCTGATCGCACTTCGAACTGTCAGAATTAATTCTATTTTGAATTATTCGTATGAAATTGGTTGCTGGAGGGAAATTTTTTTCATGTAAAAAATGTGAAATTTATTTACGTTTTCATAATGGAAGTCAATTCACAATAATGCATTTTGACTGGTCTCCCTGTATGTCCTATATGCCATGTATACTTTGGTATTGTAGGCTTTAAAGAAGAACAGCTGATTGCACTTTGAACTGTCAGAATTCAATTTATTTTGAATTAATCGTATGAAATTGGTTGCTGGACGGAAATTTTTAAAAACAATTATGATTACTTTTAGTTTCTAGTAGGCATGAGTCTTCTTTAAAATGGTTTTGCCTACCAAAAGTAAATATTGGAAAAAGAATTAATTTAATATACCGGCTTAGAATAATTTTGAAACCCCAACTTTTTTCTAAACATTTGGTGGGGGAAGATGTAAATATTTGTTTTTATTTCTCAGCCAGTTGTAATTTTTAATACCCCAAATTACCATTCACAATAATGTATTTTGACAGCAAACATAAGAAACAGCTGATCTTACTGGGTGACCTTATCAATAACATTTGTTTAAAGTATAAAATTTTGTTCTTTCAAATACTATGGGGTTTTTGTAAGTCCCTCGAGTTCATACGTTTCAAATCTTATAGAAACATGTAATAAATATTTAAACATTATACTAATACCTGTCAAATATGCAAGATCGCTAATGCGTTCAATACTTTAAATAAAAAATTAAATTGTCACAAAATATATATTAACCAATAAATCTAAGGGCTTATAACTAATATCTCCCAGTGAACCATGCTTTAAAGGAAAATTTCCCCATATTTTCTCTTTCCATACCTGGTGTAAATATTATTATTACTTTAATATATCCTCTATTTTCCATAACCCCAAGTAATTTTATAACATTATAAGCAAACAAATATTTAACATTGTCCAGTATGTATTTTTCTGTTAAAAACAAAAAACGTAATCCTAGTGTTTATTTAGTACAACCTTATTAATATATACGTTCATTTCTATATATATGTATTTGTGTAATTTTTAAAACAAAATATTTTAATTTAAGCTATATATACCTATTACATACCCTGTAATATTGTTGCAACAACTACAAAAATGAAATCGAAAAAAATAAATATAAAAATAATTATTATAAGTTTAACCCTTTTGTGTTTTGTGTGTCAATTGTTATTGTCCTGTCTTGTCTTTTGTCTCTGCGTCCAAAATGCAATTTAGTTTTTTGTTGTACAGCACCACCTGCTACTTATGTTTTATAAATGCACCTAGTACACCCAAGAGCAAACATTGTAACCCTGCAGCTTGAGTAAGTATTTATATTATATAAAAATGATTTTTTATAATTCACAATAACTTAAATTTAAAATGAGCACAATATTTCGAAAATTCTAATTAATATAACAAAATGTATATACGTGTTATAGACAGACAGAAATATTCATTCAGTGACATTGACAGTGATGAATGACGAGTTTTTTTAATAAATGTGTGATGTAAACATTTCCAAAACCTTTATTTAAATCAATTCACAATAGATTATTTAACATTCCGAGCGTTTGTTTCAAATCAGCTGATGCTACTTGGACATATTTGTTGAATAATTTTTCCCAGTTAGAATTCGTAGACACGCAGTAAAATCTACTTTCTTACATCGACTTACATCTTACACAAATTAAATCCAATCATTATCGCCATTTTCTCGGAATCCTGTACTTAATCGATATCTTCATCAAATGCAACACTGTTTTTGTACCAAAAAAAATACATCACACTTTTCCTAAAAGCACTGAAAATGGCAACGCTTTATCAAACTTCATAAAAATTAAAAATAGTTGTCTAACAAAAAATGACAGCAACTTAAAATTGTTTAAAAAAATATAAAATGAATATTTAACGTCCTAAAAAACAATGTATGCAAAATTTATTAATAAAGTCATCCAGGTAGAACAGCTGGGCATCAGCTGCTTCTCAAGTTTGCTGTCAAAATCCATTATTGTGAATTGATTTCCATTTTGTAAACAAAGTTGTTAGACCTAAAGAATAGCTGACTTTCGCTATTAATAGATTTTGAGTGTGTTCGTTCCAAATCAGCTGATTCTACTTGTGTAATCGTGGTAACTTTAAATACAGCACTGATTTTATACCAAAATATGCATCACCTTACTAAAAGTACCAAAATGTTAACAATCTGTGTGGGAACATTCCAGGTCTATTAATAAGTTCATCCAGGGAGACCAGCTGCATATTATCTGCCTCTCAAGTTTGCTGTCAAAATCCATTATTGTGAATGGACTTGCATTATAAAAACGTAAACAAAGTCGCTAGGCTTGAGAAAAAACAGCTGACTTTCGTTATCTGGGTGTCCTTATTAATAGATCTTGAGGGTGTTCGTTTGAAATCAGCTAATGCCACCTGCGTAATCGCGATAACTTTAAATATAGCACTGATTTCGTATCAAAAAAATGAAAAGTATAAGAAAAGTATCAATCAATGGAAACGGGCTATGTGTGTACATTCAAGGTCTATTAATAAGGTCATCCAGGGAGAACAGCTGTATATCACTGTCTCTCAAATTAGCTGTCAGAAATTTGCACTTTGTTTACGTTTTCATAATGGAAGTTAATTCACAATAATGTATTTTAACGGCAAACTTTTGAGGCAGCTGTTATTCAGCTGATCTCTCTGGATGACCTTATCAGTAGGCCGTGAAGTAAACAAAGTCCAAATTTTTGACATTAGACTTGAGAAAAAAAAACAGCTGACTTTTGCTTGTTGTGTGACCATATTAATAGATCTTGGATTTAAATATGCTTATTCCAAGATCTATTAAAAAGGTCACCCAGCTAATGAAAGTCAGCTGATTTCC